ATTTCCACATTCTGTGGGATCACCTTTCTTTGGAATGGGCACAAATATGGATCTCTTCCAGTCAGTTGGCCAGGTAGCTGTCTTCCAAATCTCCTGGCATAACTGAGTGAGTGCCTGCAATGGGGCATCTGTTTGTTGAAATATCTCAATCATTACTCTAGATAGAAGCTATTCTTGATTTGATGATACCTGCATTGTTATCAAATAACAATGTGCAGGTCATCTTTGCTGTATCATTTCCCCCCATTTCCCAGTCATTCCCAATCTCCAATTCCTAAACAAGATCCGCTAGACTGTAAAGTCTCTCAGGCCAGGGAAGGTGTTGCCTCCCCAGTGCACACTGTGAGTCCTGAGTCTATTACTGAAGGAAACCACTTACCTTGAGCTTAGCTATCTGTCCGACAACAGAGCCCACAGCTCCTGCTGCTGCATTAACCATTACCGTTTCTCCACCCTTCACACCACAGATGTCCAGCAGGCCAAAGTAAGCAGTAAGGCTGAGGGAAAAAATGGGGTATGTGGGTATATTTGTTTCTTTCCCCGATAATTCATTTATGTACACCCTAAAGGCTTTCGTGGGATTCCTGGCATGGTGCAAAGAGTTAACATGCTTTGCTGCCAACAAAAAGGTTGGTAGTTAACAGTCCTCCCAGAGGTGTCTTGGAAGCAAGCCCTGGTGATCTACTTCCAAAAAATCAGCATTAAAAACCCTATGGAGCCCAGTTTCACTCTGATACTCATGGGGTCACTATGAGTTGGAACTGGTTCAACAGCAACTGATTTTTGGTTGGAAGGCCTTCTTAGCAGCCCAGTGCCAAGAGTCCAGGTAAAAGACAGAAAATATAGAAAATGAGTATCACCATCTACTACTGGACCACCTCCTCCTTCCACACCCAAAACAGCTAAAGAAGGTAGAAGTAGGGAGGGGATGAAGAGTTGGCTGGAGTGGAGTTGCCACCTATCCATCCATAGGTCAGGTCACAGAGGAGAAAGAAGATAGATTTCCCTTAAATTGGAGGATCCATGAATAAAGGGTCTGTGCCTCATTCCCAGTTCAGCCCTAGGGAGATGTGAGCTACATGGGAAAAGGCTCGTCATGTTGCCATAGCTCTCCAGAACATATAATGGTATGCTCTATCTAAGCATGGAAGGATCAGAGAAAGCACTTAGAGTTCTCCATGTGGTAATGAAGAACTTCTGCAAGTTCCCCTTATCACTCCAAGTGCAACATCAAAGTTAACTAGCAAGGAAAGAACTATTGGGCCTGTAAGCATACAGCATGGAAAATACTGATGGGTACTGGGTGAAGACATACTATACCTCAGTGGACTGCCAACTTGGAAGGGGATGTGACTGA